ATCAATCATTCTAATGTTTTCACGGGCTCTATTAAGTGTGGAATCTTTCAGTTGTTCCGTACAAAAATCCTCTTTTCTGACCTCTAGGTCAGGCACCACATTCTGTCCACTCTCACTAGAGCCAGCGATCATCTCTTGTTCTATATCCTCAATGTCTGGGGTTGGATCCAACTCCTCCTGCTCCCCAGCCATTACAGAAAAAGGAAAAAGGTCTACACCTTCCTTGGACACACCCACAGTTTCCCCTTCCACCTTGCCGTCAAAGGGGTCAGGAGTGAGTTCAGGAGTTTCCGGCGTTTCCCCAGCAGGGGGAGCTCGGTCTTCCTGACTCTCCTCCTTATCCCATAACTTCCAGAAATGGGGAAAATCTCTCCCCACTATGGCTTCATGAAGCAGAGAGGGCACCACCCCCACAGAATGGGTCACAGGGCCCCAGGGAGTACCAATCTCCACCAGAGCAGTCTGGTAATTACGTGTATCACCATGAATACAAATAACTCCAATCATGCTAGGGTGTAGGCTGGCAGGGTTTACCAAATCACTTTTAACCAAGGTCACAACACTACCCGAGTCTAGCAGAGCAGTTACTGGCTTTTCATCAATGGCAATCACACACATTTGCTTTTCCATGCGTTTCTGACATGCTGCAGTACATACCACCTGTGCAAAAAGAGACATGCGTTTTCCTAAATAAGCATTTTCACATTGCATAGGTTCATCATTTAAAGGACAGTTTGCAGCAATATGACCTAACGCATGACAGCGATAACATATTATATGTTCAGTGCTTAGACCTCTAAATGGCTTTGGGGACCTTCCTGACCTATTTGGCCAGTCTCTAGGTCCTAAGCCTACAGTCTCATTATCTGACACAATAGTCTTATCATTTTTTTTCCTGAGCCTTTGGCCCATGGAACAGTCTTACCGGATCTTCCGGATAGTTTTCCACCCCTAGTGACATTGGGGTACGGCCCAGGTGAATGAAAAAAGTCCTCAGCGGCTGCATATCTCTCCACCAGGTCCACCAGCTCGTTTGCAGATTTAGGGTCTCCACGGCCGACCCACTTCCTCAAAGTGGCAGGGAGTGCACGCAAATATTGGTCCATGACCACACGCTCCACACAATCTGAGGGCCTGACAATACCTCTGGCTGGAGCCATTTTTTGGAGAGATGTATCAAATCGAACATCTGAGATCTGGGTGGTTTGTCAGCCCTGTAATGCCACTGATGCACCCGCTGAGCCCGGACTGCAATGGTGACGCCCAGGCGTGCAAGGACCTCAGCCTTCAGTTTCTCATAGTCCTGGGCTTCCCCTGGTTCCAGGTCATAATAGGCTTTTTGGGATTCACCTGTCAAAAATGGCGCAAGCAGTCCTGCCCATTGCTCCTTTTTTCCATCCTTCCCGAACAGCAACCCTTTCAAAAGTTGTGAGGTAGGCCTCCACATCATCCGCAGGTGTCATCTTCTGCAAAACATAACTGGCCCGCGCCATTTTCTGCTCCCCTGGCAGCGGATCTGCAGATTCCTTCTTTAATTCTAACAGGTGTTGGGCCACCTGCTTAAGGAGCTCTCGGTCTGCTTGTTGGGCTTCATGTTGTGCCTGTTGGGCTTCATGTTGTGCCTGTTGGGCCTCATGTTGTGCCTGTTGGGCCTCATGTTGTGCCTTTGGGCCTCATGTTGTGCCTGTTGGGCCTCCGCAAACTGGCGATTTGTCTCCCGTTGTACTGCATTGGCCTGCAGTAAGGCTCTTATTATTTCCTCCATCTTCCCACTTGCTCAGGAAGTTGCCCGCATCCTCCACCATATGTGGGGTTAGCTCAGGTGGGGGATCTCCTTCCCTGGGACAAAGGTAGACCGCACAGCAGGCTTTCGTCAAAATCTGACTGGTTGTCAGTTTTATTAAAAGGTTTGCAAGAAATATCAAAATAAAACAAAACATCAAAAATAAACCCTTGCAATCCAGGCACTAACTAAACAGAAGATGATTCCTCTCTCAGAGGTGAAGGGCTTCTCCCTGTCACCAAAACAAAATAACAGCAAACCTTTTCTTGTAGGTATAGTCCATACACAGCTCTCTCAGAATACCTCTCTGAGTCCCAGGCCACGAGCAACTCCTTGCTCCAGCTCTGCCCTTTTTGTATCCTGCTGGTGGTCATCAGTGGAGCCCAAACTCTGGTCCGGAACCACCTCTGCCATTGTGGCCCCGAAAACCCGGAGTGGACTCCACCTTACACCTCACAGTATGATCTCATGCGAGGTGACACATACCGTCCATCCATCAGTTTGCCGTTCATACTGTCACAATATATATATATATAAATAAATAAATAAAAACCTGTGACTTGCAATATGAATATTCTCAGTGTTCTGTGTGCCAAATATGTCAGTAGTACTTGACACCAATAAATCATTTCTGCTGAAAGGCATGACTGAAATGAGATCAGCACTGGCATTTACATGAAATTGCTGTGGTTCAAAGTACAGCTTAACATAAAAAAAGCGGTTTATCTGAAAAAAAATCAGTGCAATATCGCAGTAGTATAATAAGATAATAAGAAGACGACACAACACCAAATATAAAACACAAATGACATTTGTCATCATAGGTGCTACTTTACATATTTAATCATGCAGCATGCATCATGACAATTCCAACTTCCTCTTGACATTTGGTTTATGCATCAATAAATGTACCTCCAAAAGCAATTCCTAACTAGGAGTTTTGTGCATTAGTGATTCATGCTTAAGTCCCTTGTTGTGCTGCAGATGTTATTGCCAGTCACTGGTAACTGCCATTCTGTTTATGGCATGCTGCAGCTTACATTTTCCTGTGCTGGGACAGGCCCTGTTGCACAACCATAATATACTGTAAACAGAGTAGCTTTCATTACTTACAGTATAACATACATATTCATTACTAAACCAAAAAGGAACAAAAAAAATGCAACAGGTCAAAACATTTTAGCTTAATTTACACCAGCGGTTCTCAACCTGGGGGTCGCGACCCCTTTGGGGGTCGAACGACGCTTCCACAGGGGTCGCCTAAGACCATCGGAAAACACATATTTCCGATGGTCTTAGGAACCGAGACACCGCTCCTCGCCGCCGCCGCCGTCTCCAGGTGTGGGCGGGATGACATGCCGCCCCTGTCATCTGGACACACCTCGAGATCAATCCTCGCCTGTGATTGGCCGCCGGCACTGTAGCTCAGGAGAGGCACACAGGCGGCCAATCACCGGCAAAGAGGTGGAGCTTGGAGAGGAGGAGCCGAGCGGCACCGCGAAGATCGAGCGAGTGAAGAGGAGGAGAGCGGCCGGAGAAGGAAGACATCTGACAGGTAAGTGTTGGTACCATGGGACACTATTCCTCCACTGACACTGACACCAACGATGGGACACTATTCCCCCCACTGACACACAACGATGAGGCACGATTCCTCCCCAAATGACACCAACGATGGGACACTATTCCCCCACTGACACCAACGATGAGGCACGATTCTCCCCCAAATGACACCAACGATGGGGCACAATTCCTCCCCCCACTGACACCAACGATGGGGCACGATTCCTCCCCCCACTGACACCAACGATGGGGCACGATTCCTCCCCCCACTGACACCAACGATGGGGCACAATTCCTCCCCCATTGACACCAAGGATGGGGCACAATTCCTCCCTCCACTGACACCAAGGATGGGGCAGTATTCCTCCCCCCCACTGACACCAAGGATGGGGCACTATTCCTCCCCCCACTGACACCAAGGATGGGGCACTATTCCTCCCCCACACTGACACCAAGGATGGGGCACTATTCCTCCCCCCACTGACACCAAGGATGGGGCACTATTCCTCCCCCCACTGACACCAAGGATGGGGCAGTATTCCTCCCCCCACTGACACCAAGGATGGGGCACTATTCCTCCTCCCACTTATACCAATGATGGGGCACTATTCCTCCCACTGACACCAATGATGGGGCACTATTCCTCCCACTGATACCAATGATGGGACACTATTCCCCCCCCACCAATGATACCAATGATGGGGCACTATTCCTCCCACTGATACCAATGATGGGGCACTATTCCTCCCACTGACACCAATGATGGGGCACTATTCCTCCCACTGATACCAATGATGGGACACTATGCCCCCCCACTGACACAATGATGGGGCACTATTCCTCCACTGACACCAATGATGGGGCACTATTCCTCCACTGATACCAATTATGGGACACTATTCCTCCCACTGATACCAATGATGATGGGACACTATTCCTCCCACTGACACCAATGATGGGACACTATTCCTCACACTGACACCAATGATGGGGCACTATTCCTCCCACTGATACCAATGATGGGGCACTATTCCTCCCACTGACACAATGACGAGGCACTATTCCTCCCACTGACACCAATGACGGGGCACTATTCCTCCCACTGACACCAATGACGGGGCACTATTCCTCCCACTGATACCAATGATGGGGCACTATTCCTCCACTGACACCAATGACGGGGCACTATTCCTCCCACTGACACCAATGACGGGGGCACTATTCCTCCCACTGACACCAATGACGGGGCACTATTCCTCCCACTGACACCAATGAAGGGGGCACTATTCCTCCCACTGACACCAATGACGGGGCACTATTCCTCCCACTGATACCAATGACGGGCACTATTCCTCCCACTGACACCAATGACGTGGCACTATTCCTCCTACTGCAAAATTACAGTTATGAAGTAGCAACGAAAATAATTTTATGGTTGGGGGTCACCACAACATGAGGAACTGTATTAAGGGGTCGCGGCGTTAGAAAGGTTGAGAACCACTGATTTACACCAATACATTTATAAACCAAACCATGTAATAAATGTTACCATTTCGAAAGACCCAATTTAAATAGAACTTGTCAGTTATTTCACATACATACATTTCGGACATGCCACAATATACAGTAGCAGTAAGAAAAGAAAAAGGTGTACTTGTAGGGGTTTATTTACTAAGCTGGTTCACTCAGAATCTCATGCACTTCTACATGGCAACCAATCAGCTTACAGGTTTTATTGCTAAAGCTTAAATGAATAAACTGAGATTAGAAGCTGATTGGCTACCATGCACAGGTGTAACCAGCTTTAGTAAATCTCCCCCACAGTTAAAGTGCTTGTAAAGCCTCGTCTTTTATTTTTAAAAATAACAAACATGTTTAAAACCACTTTATGCCCACTCTCTATATACTGCAGACGGGCGGCCGCTGTAGGCAGAGCGACATGCAGATACATCGCTGCCTACTTCCAGGTTTCAGGAGCGCATAGTGGGAGCCAGTCAGCAAGTCCCAGCCAATGATTCACGGCTGGGACCTGCTGATCAGCTGTGTAGAATCACAGCTTACAACTCTGTGTTGGCAAACAACACAGAGCTCTGTACAAAGAAACTTAAGAGATCTTTTTAGTAAAAGCAGCATAATTTACACACATTACATATAGTTAGGCACACATTTAACCCCTTGGTTGCCCCTAGATGTTAACCCCTTCCCAACCAGTGTCATTAAAAGTAGATGCCATTGTTGTATGATGCCTAAAACAAAAATAGCACTGACCCAAGACCACCAGTAATATACAGCTGTTTTTTGGAAGAGGGCTCCATTCTTTTTATGGCCTCCCTGTGTAGTTATCATACTGTTGCTAGCTGATGTCATTAAGCTGATGATGCTTGCAGTCAGTCATTCAGCCATATTTAACCTCCCTAGCGGTATTCCCGAGTGTAGCTTGGGGGTTAAAGTTTCAGTACCACAAGCGCTAACCCCGAGCTACACTCGGGCTTACCATGCAGCGCTGTTCTTCTCTCTACCTTGTCCTGCGCTCCCGCGATGTCCCTCCTGCAGTGTCCTCTGTAATGTCCTCCGGCAGATGCCAGCATCTGTCTTCTGGGTTCCGTCCCCTGCGACGTCGGGACGTTACGGGGATGGAACGGCGGGAAATTTGAAAATGACGAAAAGTGACATTCACTAAATTCACTAAAATCACATAGTAAAATATTACTGTATCAAACCATTTCACATATATTTTTCTCCCTAGTGCTTTGTCCTGTGCCCTGCCTGCATTTTTACTTTTCTTTCTGCCTGGCAACTGAGAAACGTCCATGGAGTCCAAAAAGCGTCCCTTTAGGTCAAAATTGGTTTTAGACCAGCTAGAGAACAGTGATAGTAAATTAGAACTACTTGCAGAATTGAGTGATAATGATTCATGGGGAAATTCGTCATCAGACACTGAAAAACGATTTTGCGACTTTGCTCAGTGATGTGTGAACGTGGCGCTATATTTCAAATTTCAGTATTTTTGGTTTGATTATATTATTGAATTAAATGTATTATTATATTATTTTTTATGATTATTTATTAAATTATAATTTATGATTTCGTGTTTCATATTTTATCATACCCGGGATGTTTTACTAGACTCTTGTTCGGACAGATTTCAGTGAGTTATTCCTAAAAATTACAGGCCTACAATAAAAAAAACTACATATTTCCATGCAATAAATGTACCGCTTTAAGCACAGAAATATGGACATAATCATACTGCTAGGGAGGTTAAACCAACCCCAAAAGATAAAGTTGTATTTTCTAATCTCTATCACCTGCTAACCAGCCAATTCCAGTGTGAATCTTTACCGAGGAAGATCATCAACTCATTTCTACCTAACTATGCTTGGATTTCATAACAGTATGTGGCCATTTACAAATATCACTTACACCCTTATCTTATTTTTTTTTTCTCTTTTACATTAAAATCCAAATATAGAATGAAGTACAGGTCTTCAGGTATGGTTTCCAAAGCTGGTGTTATGACTTTCATTTACACGATTCATTCTACATTGCACGCAGTTACAGAGCGTTTGCAACGTATCCCCATTGATTTGATTAGGTCACATTTGGTGGGCTTACTGACCAACCAAAACATGGCAAGAGCAACAGTTTTTGCTAAGCATCATGACCGCGGCATGTGAACACTCCTTGTCTGCTGCATTGCAACTTAGGGGTGTGATTGAGGGGTGCTAAAACGCAACTTAACCACATGTTTTTAATGCACCCCTCCCCCCAAACGTAGTCTGCACAAGCCCTTAGGAAATGTTGCAAAAAATGTGATGGCTTTGAGAAATCATAAAACAAGCATATAGTTACCTTTTGGTGAGGTTGTTTCTTATGTTTTTATGTTTACTGATTCAGAGGTTGTTACATGAACAGGCTGGCAGTCAGAATGAGGGTCTGAACTTGTGTTCAATAAACATAGCCAATGTCACAAGACTGTTGCTAAATAAAAAACTATTCTTGGACCACAAAAGAACATACATGCATGATGCAATAGAGAACCAGAAACACATGCCCCAAGCCAATTCAATAGGCTTAGAACAAATAAGTAGCATATTTTTAAATTATAAACATAATTCTGAAATACAGAAGACATACATGTATATGAAACAATTTACAATGAAAGTTGGGTTACGATAGTAAATGCACCACCACCAAGGACACTGAACAAATGTAAGGAGCGTGACTTAAGCTTATGCTCCCACTCCATGTCTTGCTACCCGGGCCCGACTTGCATCTCTGTTGCTAAGCAATGAAGACAATGCCACCTCTTTTCCTATTGGCCAAAGGTGACCTCTATCCTCACTCCAGCTTGCGACTTTTTTTTTCCAGGCTCCATTCTGTGGACGCCGCCTCCTCCCTCTTCATTTGTAGTGTCACAACAAGATGACAGTATAGCTATGTTTAAGCTGGTAATCTCTAAAGCAGATTTCAAGACATTTTTATTAATTAATTTTTTTATTAATTAATATTAAATTTGCTATGCAAAAAATTGTTAACTCGCATGATGTATGCCACCTTAAAGTGTTACTAAACCCAGGACCCTGCATTCACTATATCTGGTCTCCCACAGTACACACAACATGGAAATACAATTATTTTAGTAAATATAAACTGCTAAATTCCTTTTCTCATCAGAAGTTAGAGCAGTCTTGTGGCTTCTTTCAGTGTTCAGCCAAGCACAGGCTAAAGCTTATAGGAGGAGTTTTCTTTCTGCTCTAGGAGGATGCAAAACCCCTGACCTCTGTCTGACCAGTGCTTAATTGACCTGTGCTGATCACATGCACTCTCCCAAGAAAAAAAAAAAAACACTCTAGCAATACACACCAAACTGAGCATATGCAAAATGCCTACGATTTAGTCTGTCTTATCAGGAGATAAGAGTTGGTTGCATAAACAAGGGGAGGAACAGAGCAATCAGGATCAAACGTCCTTTTTACACAATGCAGAGGATGCCTTAGGTGCCACCGTGAGTATAACAAGCAAGCTTTACTGCACATACAGGCTGATTTTACTGTTGTGGGTTTAGTGACCCTTTAAGGACCACTGTCTTTTCTTTAATAGTATACATTTTGCCAGATAACAAAGCTCTCTCTACTTCTCTGTAGTTCTCCCTTGAACCTGATTGGTGGTTGTAGTAAAGCAGCTAACCTTTTTGAAAGACACTGATATTTTTATTAGTCATGTCATGAAAACACACAGGGGTTAATTTACTAATAAGTTGTTCACTTTGCAACTGAAGTTGCACTTTCTAAGGATATTTTCCCCAGGGCTTGGTGAATTAGGTTAAGCTCTGAAGACTTCCATCATCCAATAATGAGCAAGTAAAAAAGCATATTTTTTTTTTCTTTTCTAGCATATGGGTATTCGTAAAAGCATGACGCTTCACCACACTCACCAAGCTCTTGGGTATATCCCCTTGCAACAGGTACAGTCTATTTGCCTTTAATAAATCAACCCCAAATTATAATTCAGTTATGACAACGTGCTCTGTATATAGGTAAGACCTTATCTAAATTATTTTTTCTCAGTCATTTCTCAGTGAAAGATTGGCAAATAGCATTTGCAGATATTAGGTGGGTTATTATGTCACATACTGTATATTAATAGAAGTAGGCCACCACACATGCTTATAGGGTATATTGGCCGGGGTGCAATCCATGAAAAAATTGTATATAATATGAAGCAGGCAGCAGGCAGGCAGGATGTGCAACAGGAGGAATTTCCAATGTGGTTTTATTAATGTCAACATTTCAGCAGCCCACTTTCTCTTCAATTTTCCTAAATGTGGTCATATTTTTATTGTACCCAAGTCAAAACTGCAAAACGCTCCTTAAAAATAAACCCCAAATTATTGTATATTCACAACTTTAATAGAAACATACTTCCCCCTCATAGTTTTAAAAAAACATTTTCTAGAACAATATTCTAACAAAAAAAAAGGATATCATGCATGTGTGGTAACCCAAGAGTAGTGTATAAAAATCCATACAGAGAAAATGCATGATTATTTTTTTTTTTCTTTTCTAAAATAAATGTTTCATGTTATAATTACATTACTTTATGCAAGCTCCGTTACTGACCATGCGAAGTTGGGAAGCAAAAATTTTAAAGAAATTGGGCGCACTGGACTTGTGCATTAAACATGACACTTTTTATTTAACAGAAAGAAGTACTATACTCACAAAGTATATGGAGCTTCAAGCTCAGTGAAAATATTCAACAGAACAACCAGAACCATAACACCCCTCTAGATTGACTTATGGGATGCCCCTGAATTCTGCAGATGCTTATGCATTTTGAAGATTCCCTTCTTTTTTTTGCTCTTCTGAAGAGCAAAAAAAAAATGTGTCATGTGCGCCCTCTTATTTGTTTCTACATATAGAGCTTATGGATTCCCCAGCCAGAGGTGGACAACAATGCCAAGTGGATGCTAGAAGACCTTGACCGAGGTTGAGTCCTGGACATACTTGGAACTTAAGAGTGATTTTCCATAAGGACCATACCTTAGCGCAGAAGTGGTATTGCTACATACACATTTGGTGGTTTTCTGCACTTTACAATCACTTTGTAGTTTGTTTTTTTCATAGTTTACTGCTTTAAGAAATGGTGTTTGAAAACTGCAGGTAAAGAAACCAAACTGGAAAAACCTCAAAATAATATGACGTTACTAAGACATAAGAATCTCCTTTACAACAGTGATGTAACATAGTAAACTAGGCAGAAATTGGATCCAAATATGTATAG